CATACAACTCTAGTGCATAATTTGCGGTCACTATTCATCAAAGGGTGTAAATGATGAGTTCTAATTGAATTGAAGCTTGGAGAATAATCTTGTGAAGAGTTAGAAAGCATCCAAGGTAAGAAAACCTATTTGTAATGGATAATTCCTTATATTCAAACTTAGGTTTTCTTGGGTTTTTGGTTGACTAGGAATATATGAAATCATGGATGTATGATTTCTTCATGTTTAGATATGTCTTGTGATGAGTTTCAAGTAAAACAAACCAAGTTAAAATAATAAGAACTTGAGAAAATCCATGGTTTCCTATCATACATGTTCCAGATAGGAAGAAAGAAATATGTGAGCAAGGGTATGCCTCGGCCATGATGTGTCCAAGAGGGAAAATAATGTGTTTAATTCATGAAAAGCTATGTTGCATGATTTGTAACCAAGTTAAGTTGATTGAAAAATGAGTTTCCAAAATTTTGAAAATTGTGGATATGTACATCTGACTTTGGAGTGTGATATCTCCCTCATCCCTTAGTCAAATGAGGCTTATGATACCTCATTTTAAAGCTTGAGATGTCATCTATATTGCCCTAAAATTGAAATGATTATGTGTTGTGGTTTGTCCGAAAAGTCAAATTAAGTACAGACTGCCCAAAAATTGCGAAGTGCAGGGCGATTCCAGAAGTCCAACTTCAAAAATTCACATCTCTCTCATTACTTACCCAAATTAAGCTTATGAACCTAGAATTAAAGCCCTAGGTGTCTACTACAACATATTATAATTTGAAAGAAATAAGACTTGTGGAACTCTCACAGTGACGAAAACCATGAGGGAGGTTGGGATCCTCTGCACTGTTTAAAAATAGCTTTGTGAGTCGAACTTTCAAAATCATAACTTGAACTATATAGCTCTGATTAAGGTGTATGATACCTTGTTGGAAAGCCTAGGAAGTGTATAATAACATACTAAAATATTGGACCTTATGGGTGATGGGAACCACTTAGGTATATTAGATAAGTGTTGTAAACCTTTGGTTGGGTAAGATAAAAAGAAAATTGAATAAGTTCCTTCGTTGGGCCTTATATATGTATATGGCCATTTTCAAAGGAGGAATGTGCCGGGAGTTACTGTTTTGAAAAACGAGCACACCTTTATGTGTGGAATAATATTCTAAGGTGTATGGACATTCGCTTTAGTGAAATAAAAAAAAAGGAAATTGGTTATGACTTGTGTGTATTGCATATAATTGGCATAAGCTTTGTAAGTACATATGAAAGCAGTCAACTGTGTGTGTCTTGTATAATTACATGGCATTGTATCACTTATTGAGTTATTTTGGATTCCTTCTCTAGGTATGCTTAGGGATTTCGAATTTGTGGATCATTTTGGAGCAAGATAAGTAACTTGTGCTACAAGTAAGCAAATTAGAAAAGCTCCAAGAGGTAAGCTTTATGTTTAAGGAGTCTATTCCTATTTGTGTGCTCCACCATGGTTAGTGGACTATGGTTGGATTGTATAATTGTATTTGATGCTTTGTATAGATGCATTCATATAGAGCTATATGATAATATGATATGTTTTATTTTGATGTGATTTCTGCAATGATCTTTGACCATTGATTCTATGTGCACCAATGTCTGCTTGGAGTCCTCCCTTCGGACTGACGGTATATACCTCTGATATGTGTGTGGTTCTGCTCGAGGTCTTCCCTTGGAAACACGTGCGTTGATTTCCACTTGGAGTCCTCCCTTGGGAATGACTGCGTACACCTCTGATAAAATATGTATATTATTTGTTCAGTTATGATATCTATTATATGATGTCTTGTATACTCTGTATCTGATTTTCATGCAGGAGTGGGCCCTGGGTATGGAGAATTCTCTATAAACCTAGAGCTTATTGAGATTTGTTATCTCACCTTGTTTGGGGACATCATTTCAAGTGTTCAGATTCCCGGTGAGCCCTCACGGGACAAGGACACGACCCGTGGTTAGAGGTGCTGCGACGGATCAGATTTTGAGTGGATGTAGCTACTAATATTTTGGTGGACTTTTATGTTGCTTTAGTATTTTATTATTTTGGGATCATGATGTCTGATTCGTTATTTGTATATGTCTTGTACATATTTTTTGTTTTGAAGCATGTACAATTGTGTATTCAGACATGCTTATATGATGATGTAGTATTCAGATATATGTATGTGTTGGATATGCATGCTATTAGATTTAGTGGCACGGAGCCAATTTATGCATGCGCCCATGGATGGGTATGTGATCCTTGACGGATATCTGTTATTTCTGAAATCATAGACTGTTTATCAGGATACATTGAGAGTGAGATTCGTAAATCCCCATTTGTCCGGTTTTCAGCCGTTACTCTGTATGATTTTCGTCTCCGTCAAATAAAAAGTAAATTAGGATAAGTATGTTATATTATATATCATGTGAAAAGGATAAAAGGAAAAAGAAAAAGTTAGCTCGTGTTTTCATAAGTTAGTCTTCCGATGGTTTTGTTTTGTATCATATGTGTGTTAACTAAACCGGCTCAAGACGAGGATGTTACAATAGGCGATTCCTCTTGTCTTTCTCATTCACTCTTCTTATTCTTATCATACTTTTCCTATAGAAAATGACAATACGTGATGATTATTTTTACATTCTATGGCAAATATACATATTCCTATGGGTAGGGTGCATTTTGAAATAGACTTTCTTATTTTACTATGATTTTTAATTCATTACCATTAGGGATACAAATCAAAAAGTTAAGCGTGAAAATATATTTGAATCTTCTATTTTTTAATCAGAAGATGATATTACCCTCTCAGCAAAATTAGGGGACCAGTGCACGGATAGCAAAATATCGTTCACAAAAGAAATAATCATACAATTAATGAGATCAAATTCGAAGTAAAAAGCCAAGCTATTCAAAACAGATAAGAAAAAAAAAGTTTAGGAGGAAATTGCTGTGGAGATGATATCTGAGATGGAGAATGGCATGAAAATTACTAAAAGGCAAATTGAGGATGCTACTTCTGTTACGTTCATGCTACATGAAGAAAACTCTTTGCTGAAGGAGGAGTTGGATGACGCTAAGTTGTGGGTTATTAAGTCAATGACAAGCCATTAAAAAGCACTAGAAATATAGCATATGTCTTTTAAACATGCCTAGTCAAGGGAAAGCCAAAGAAGTTTATTTCGAGATGAGCTTGAAAAAGAGAAGCACAAATTATCTAACCTACAACAGGAGCTAGACAAAAAGAAAAATCTTCAAGCCAAAGTTCAGGTATGTGACATTGAATTAGAAACTAGTTATTGACGAATAATATCAAGATACTATTTTTACTAATGTTATAGGGTAGAATGAAATAAGAGAGAGTTGAAAAAGAAAAGGTCCTTGCACAGGCTGCTTCCTTTAGAAAGGAAAAAGAACAACTTGAAGCACGTACAAAATATGAGGAGAATATGATTACAAAGGAGGCAGCCAATGATCACCAGGAAAATATGGAAGATATTGCAAAATTAGACAAAGAGTTGAGTGGACTAAAAGTAAAATTTGAGTATAAAAAAATAGCAGCATTATGTTGGGGTAGTGATGAAGGAAATGATAGTGTAGAGTAGGGATTTTGTACAAGCATGAGACTGTACAGATATTAGATATATGAAAAATAAATTAGGTGTTTGAGAATAATATAAACAATTAAAAATGCCCTCACTCAATACCTTAATGTTTTAGGGTTGAATTGGTTCTTTACATGGTATCAGAGCTTCAGTAACTATAAGATCACGAGTTCGAGCTTTACCGCCCTTCACTTGTGGAATTAAATAAGCATAACATAAACCAACACAAAAATTGGACATATTCAATATCCACGCTTCAAGCCCAAAAAGCTCTTGCATGATGAGATGTATTAGAGAATAATATAAACTATTAATAAATCTCACCCAACACCTTAAAATTTTGGATTGAAGCGATTCTTTATATTAAAAATGACAATTGTATAATATAAACATATAAAAATAAGTTAAATCTTCCGCTTTAAAATTTAATTATTTTACACTTTAAATACTATATGTAAATTAACAAACCGGCTGACTACGCGTCATTACATATTCCCTATTCCCTGACGTTCCACACTTTTTTGCTCGTCAATAAAGTATCATTCCAACTTCCCAAGTTGATGAAATGAGGTCCCCACTCCAACTCAGATTGTATGAGATTTTTATCACAGAACAGAAGTTCTTACTTCTCAATAGTCAACAGTCCTAATTATTTAGATTATTAGGTAAAATGGTAATGGTAAGTTCTTGGGAGATGGGTACGGCGGGATTCCTGTGATGTGGAGTTCCAAATAAGAATCTCACTTGCATGGCCAAGGGGACCGCCTGTCTTTGGCTCATTTATTGTTATTACCATTATTCTTTTACTTTGCTTCTTTTTCATTTCCTTAATTGGTTTACTTGTATTATTTTAGTCAAACAAGGAATAAGGTAAGTTTACTTACTTGCCGGCCTAAGAACAATGGTATGAACTTCACACTAATCACTTGTGTGGCTGCATTGTGTCCAAATTAAAATTTTCTCTATTGAATTTGAATGCAATGAGATTACATTAAGTCAGCCAGTTTTGCATAGTTGCATGCGTAAGTAAACCTTAACTGCCCGTTAAAACTCTAGATGGCATTGCCCTTGTTTCACTAAACAACTAAAGGAATCCAATCATCTTTTTTTCTTTTTGTTATAGCAGTTTGGGAGCCTGACAGTGGCCATAGGCATCTCCCATCTCTCCTTTTTCTTGTCTTTGGGCTAAATAATGCCATCCTCCTCAAAATTTAACTAAACTATTATTCTATTTCACCAACTCATTTCCTAGAAGTCCCCTTCTCCTAGTTTGACAAAGCAAACTTTCAACTAGTCCCTAATCTAATCCATCTTATTTATTTACTTGTTTGTTCTTTCATTTTCCTTCCAAGCCACTATTCTCATTGTCATTCCACTTCCACTCACAAAATTCATGACAAACATAAGCACAAGGCAGATTTGAAAACAATTCTGCAACTTCATCTCACCATCCTCATTCCCAGCCTTGTCTTATGATCAACCCAAGCCAAGACCCTTTTCTGTCCCACACCCAATTTCCCATTATGCTCAAGCTCCTCAACAAGAACCTCCACCGCTTCTTCTCCCATCTCCGGTGGCCAATTCGCCGCCGCTCAAAGTCCAAAGTAGTAGTGATCAAGAAGTTAGGTATGCAGAGCCCAAAATCTCAACACGAACCAAGCACGAATTTTTCCGCGGCGGTTCATCCCAACGCTCAATTGGGTAGTCCAAAACCCGATAAACCAATTCGGATTGCGACCTTCAACGCTGCACTGTTCTCCATGGCACCGGCGCTTCCCAAGGAAGAAGAAAAAGAAGCCACCTTTGACGACGAAAACAGCGTCGCCTTGAAACTTGGAAGACCCTTTGGCCTCAATTCAAGATCAAAATCCACAAACGACCGCCCCAAAAGCATTTTGAAGCAATCTCAATCTCCCCTGAACAGACCTAACAACCTCGGCAACAACAACCAACACAAGTTGTCGAAATCGAAGATGAGAGTTTCCATCAATCTACCAGACAACGAGATTTCGCTGCTTCGAAGTCGACAATCGAGCTTCTCGGAACACGAAAAGGAGAGACCCTTGGTGGGTTTTGCGGTGAACAGGAGTAGCACAACGTTGGTTGATGTTCTGAGAGAATTGGATGCTGATGTTTTGGGTTTGCTAGATGTGAAGGCTGAGGAAGAGAATGGGATGAAACCATTGTCTGATTTGGCTGCAGCTCTTGGTATGAACTTCGTCTTCGCTGAAAGCTGGGCACCTCAATACGGCAATGCCGTTTTGTCCAAATGGCCCATCAAACGTTGGAATGCTCACAAAATCTTTCATCATACTGATTTCAGGTTACTAACTTTTAACTCTTTTTCTTTCTCATTTTAATGATACTCTATAGTTTTCATCATTTAATTTATGTACACTTACTATATTTGTATTTTTTTATTTTATATTTAAAACTTTAAAGATTGAATTTTATTTTTTTTTAAAATAAAAAGGAATCACCTAAATCAAGTATGATTATGTCACTGATAAAAATGTGATTACTTATAGCTGTATCAAGTATTTTTCTTTCATTTTTTAAAAATATGATTATGTCACTGTTCTTGAGTGTATTTCGTAGAAGCTTCTTTGTGCTTGGGCCATTGCAAAGAAAAATGAAAAGATAATGAATCACTTTTCTGCTCATAAAGTCCCCAATTATTCCAAAACTTTTCAAAAAAAAAGTCTTAAACGAACACATGGGAATTTCCAAAAGCCATGTAGAAGATTTTTCACTCACTAACTACTAGTCCAAACAAATGATTAAGGAATGAGCTCCTTTCCGTGTTGTTTATGACATCAATCTTGAAACTGCTACACCCATCTTTTGCTCTTTCCTTGTTTTCTTCTACGTGTCAATGGCAAATTGGCAATGATAGATGCACGGCATGCCAACTGTAATAGCTGTACGCACTATGCAGCGAGGCAGGATTGATCTTCACCTAATCCTTAAGGACTCTGTTGTCATCATCCATCAATGTTCCCTTAAGACTACTATTTTATTTTATGCGGCAATCAGCAATTTTGTGAAGAAATTTATGGATAATTAATTTATTGCTCATCAAAATGTTCCAATGAAGGAACTACAATTTCAGTGGCTCTGCAGAAGATTTTCTTCTTTAGTAACCTTCAGCATTTTCATATTGTTTTAACTTTTAAGCAAACTTTTAGATTTTCCAAATATTAATGCTGGTCTATTTCTTTGAATGCTATAATAACTCTTCCACAGCATAAGTTGCTTTGGTTTGTGTTTTTGGAAAACGAAACTTGTACTTTAAGCAGCATAAAATAATTATTTGATGTTGAGTAAATTTGTATGATGCAATTTAGGTACAGTTTGTCATCATCTTGGAACATCCATTGCAAAAACTAATTAATGCTGCCAACTTAAGAAATAGCTAGACAGACAGTTTATCTGGTCTCGAAGGATAGTCAGAATATTATATTGTTGTTCTTGCTTGAGTTCATAATAATTAAATTTAAGAAATTTTTCATACTTTCCTCCAAAGACATCTCGTGCTAATGACAATATATGAAAAAATGATTATGGAAATCCAATCTGTGAAAGCAAACAACTTAGAACAATTGAAGAAATCTAGAGCATTGAAATTCTGGGGTTAGAGAATGAATGAGCAACAAGGGTGAATTTGACATGCAAAATATTGTAATTTCATGGCCACAGGAATGTTCTGAAGGCCACTATCGATGTACCCGAAGCAGGTGAACTCAACTTTTACTGCACCCACCTTGATCATCTTGATGAGAATTGGCGGATGAAGCAGATAAATGCAATAATCCAATCTAATGATGAGCCTCACATCTTAGCTGGAGGTCTTAATTCACTGGATGAATCGGATTACTCCCAAGAAAGATGGAAAGATATAGTAAAGGTATACCCAACAGAACCTCAATTTATTTGTTTCCTTTAGCTTTTTGGTCTTGAAAATAACAAAAATAGAAGAAATCAATTTCTTTGAATTGGTTCATTTGTATTCAGTACTACGAAGAGATGGGAAAGCCAACACCAAAAATTGAAGTGATGAAATATCTCAAGAGTAAAGACTATACAGATGCTAAGGACTATGCAGGGGAATGCGAGTCAGTTGTCATGATTGCCAAGGGTCAAAGTACAAACACAATTTTTAATCTCTTTAAGCTTTTGATTTTTGAAAGTTCAACTTTGTTATTATACCATGTTCTCTAAACAAAATTGTAAATATTATGCAGGTGTCCAAGGGACATGTAAGTATGGAACTCGGGTAGATTACATATTATCATCCTCAAATTCTCCATATAAGTTTGTTCCTGGTTCCTATTTAGTCCTTTCTTCCAAAGGGAAATCAGATCATCACATAGTGAAAGTTGATGTGGTGAAGGTAAATAGCAATCCTCAAGAAAATGTGACAAAGAAACCACAACCACCAAGACAGAAAGTGGTAAGAATAACACAATCGACTCCATCAAAAGGTATCTGGAAAATAAACGGGGGAGAGATAGATTGAGTGCTTCTTTACCCCTCAGTTTGGATTAGTTTGATGATTAAATATTGGGAATGAAGCGTTTGTTTTTCTTTCTGCTTCCTAATCCTATGTTCTGTATACAGCATTCTTCAATAGATTTAGAAGAATATGAAAGAAGAGGGTGATATGTCAGTATGACACTTTTTTAAAAAATAAAATAAAATTGTATAGCTTTTGATCGACGAAGTGATTTATTGCTTATCGCTCTTTGACAATGCATATAAAATTCACGACCGAGACTTTCGTACTAGTTGAAAATCAATTAGTTCATACCTAGAGATAAACCTTTTGGTTATCAAGTACATAATTGGCTGGGAAGGTAAAAGGTAGATACGATTAAAACACTAACTGCGGTATAATTTTATTAGGGAAATATGTAAAGACAATTTTATCTAATATAATACACACAAAAAATAGGTGGGACGCGGGAGAATAGAGAAAGAAAAAAAATGGGTCTCATCTACCTTTTGTGAGAAACATATTCCTCATCTTATTAACATGCGAAGAAAGTTATATTGGTTTAACTGTTTTTTATTGTAAGTCCGCGACCATTTGGAAAATTTTCTGCATGTTATTTTTGCAATGCTTTTCCAACTCTAGCAGTTGTTTTTTGCTGTCAAGATACGAAGATAAGATGAAGACCCCTCACTCCTTTTTTGAATTACTTTGGAGTTTGGAGGTCTAACTCTAAGGACATACAAAGAGGATTGTTAAAAAACCTCTGACATGAACATCGTGATCAAGTTTTAATGAGGCCCCATGGAGTCACAGACTCACAGTCATGTTGGTCACTTGGTGCTGCTTTTACAATTAATTGCAAAACGCTGGACAGCCATAAAATTTGGCTAAAATATGGACCACACCAGCCCCAAGCAAATCACCAAACAGTTTTGATGACCAAAAATGATAGGGTCGTTTGACCCTATTGGGGTGTTTCATTTTTCACTATTAGAGTTGGTAAAATGAGTTTAATTCATTAACTTGTCACATTTGGTGATTTGATTTCAGTAAAATTCACAATCCATCTGTTACAATCTGATAGATCGATATGTCCAATCATAGATTGGTATGTTAATATAGGATCTGTTTGCCCTCTCTCAGGTACCTATAGGAGAAGTACCCTAAAGATAGGCGGATCACTGTGCACAATAACATAACGACATAGTCAAGACGTGGGGTGTGTGCACAGTGACAAGCTAAGAGAGAGGGTTTTGAGAGTGTGTGTACCTTATTGGTTTAACCCCTTATTTATAGATGGGTTACCTGGCAGAAGTGGACTTTTGGGCCTCTCAGGAGCATTGGGGGTCCAATTGTTGATCAATTGCTGCCGTAGTAGGATTAGCATAATTAAGGAATATTTCCATAATTCCCTTTTAGCTGTTAGCCCTATTTGGGCCTTCTAGAATATAGGTCTTTGTCAGGTCCATAACAGTTGCCCCCCAGCCCGGTAGTTTGGTTGTCCAGGCTGCCGGGGTGAATTGTCTTGCCTTTTGCTTCAGGTTTTCTGCTGAGCTGAGAGCGTTTGAGTTTTTGTAAACTTTTTGCATATATGTTCCTTACATCTCAGGCTTTTAAACTGGGGTCCTCATTGCCCCTTATCTCGGCGGATTGATCATAAACCATGGAAAACATTTCACGTACCGAGTAGTTGCCCCCAAGCACCATTCCATACGCACACGTCCTGAGTTTGTAGTTTTCTTCTGAAACCGGGAATGATTTTCCCTTGTCAACTATGTGGGCGGGTTATGCATGAACCTGGCAAGATACTGCACATGTGTAACCGGGGAACATACAATCTTGAGTTGTTGGGATCCAACAGGCGAGTTGCCCCTAAGCCTCATCCATGTAACCCGGCTAACAGTTTCCCCCCAGCCCAGTAGTTTGGTTTTCCAGGCTGTCGGGATGAAATAGCAGTAATCTCTGCATTTGAATTTCCTTTGCATATTTTATTCAAGTTAGCAGTCGAAATCTTGCTTTGACTTGGCATCTTTATTGAAGCAATTTTCTTTGGGTTGGAACTTTTCTTGGCCGACTTAATTGGGTCAGCGATTGCAGATATTATCTCTGTTATTCCGAGGTGGAATTTTAGTGAACAGAGTATTGAATATGTTGTTTCCATATTTCTCCCTCAATCTTTTTTGGCTGAGGTGGTGCTTTTGTGAGGCAGTGTTTGCCTCCTTTTAACATCGAGCTCGTAGTTGTTCCTTCCGAGGCTTTCGCTTGGAGTCCAACTTCTTGCACTGTGGCTTTATTGATTTAGATTTAGCTTTTCAGCGTTAACTGAACAAAATGACCTAGCCAAGGTTTTTCATGCGGATTCCGCTTTTTGCCTTTAACCCAATTTTCTTAATTAGGTTTTCAAATTTGAGGCGTCATGGTGACTTGATCAAGGTCGTACCAATCTGCCCCTTATTTTTCAAGCCTAATTTCATTTATCACAGCTTGTACACATGTTGTTTATTTTGACAACATTTAGGATTCGAAAGCGTCCTTCCGTTTTCCTATGCCTCGGCTAGAAGCCACAGTCCGACAGTGTGCTTTTTATTTTTAACCCGTTTTCTATCCAGGTTCTTGCACGTTGCTAGACGTAAGTTTCCAATACCTTGGCTTTATAATATTTGACGTAGGTGTCATTTTTTGACTTCGTCTTGTTTCGTCGTTTCAGATTGGGGTGCGATCCTTTTTCTTGGATCCCATCTCTCCATACCCGTCTTCATTCTTTACCCCAAATTTTTATCATGGGCCTTTATCCCGGATTGAGGTGTGATCCTTTTTCTATGATCGCATCTCTCCAAACTCGTCTTCATTTTGTCGCAGATTGAGGCGTGATCTCTTTTCCCAGGATCCCGTCTCTCTGAATCCGTCTTAATTTCATCGCGGGTTGGGGCGTGATCCTTTTTTCCAGGATCACATCTCTCCAAAACCGTCTTCATTTTGTCACGGATTGGGGCGTGATCCTTTTTCCCAGGATCTCGCCTCTCTGAATTCGTCTTCATTTCATCGCGGGTTGGGGCGTGATCCTTTTTCCCAGGATCACATCTCTCCAAACCCGTCTTCATTTCGTCGCGGGTTGAGGCATGATCCTTTTTCTAGGATCACTTCTCTCCAAATTCGTCTTCATTTCATCGCGGGTTAGGGCGTGATCTTTTTTGCAGGATCCCATCTTTCCAAACCCATCTTCATTCTTTATCTTGGATTTTTATCCTGGGTCTTTATCTCAGATTGGAGTGTGATCCTTTTTCGAGGATCACATCTCTCCAAATCCGTCTTCATTTTATCGCGGGTTGGGGCGTGATCCTTTTTCCCAGGATCACATCTCTCCAAACTCGTCTTCATTTCGTCGCGGGTTGGGGCGTGATCCTTTTTCTAGGATCACATCTCTCCAAATCCGTCTTCATTTCATCGCGGATTGGGGCGTGATCCTTTTTGCAGGATCTCATCTCTCCAAACCCGTCTTCATTCTTTATCCCGGATTTTTATCCTGGGTTGTTGCCCCTCAGCCCGGCAGTTTGGATGTCCGGGATACAGGGTTGTTGTGCATTACTCTTTATCGCATTGCAAATATTTTATTCTCAGTGTCTGGAAGTCGGCCATGTTCATGGTTCGAGCCTTGTTAGCCTTTGTTGTATGGCTTCAGCTATCTTGTTATGTTGACTTCTTTGCCGAAGTTTTATTGATTCATTGATTCATGTTCTGAATCCATAGATTCTTGTCAATCCGTGTTTCGGATTTATTTTTGTTCTTTCTTTGGTGTCGGGCTTCATGAGCCGGGTGCCGTGTGTACTAATTCAACATTCCTCCCTCAACCCTTTTTTTTTTTTGCCGAGGTACGTAGCTCGGACTAGTTGACCAGTCTTTTTGTATGTCCTACCGAGATCTTGAAGTATAAGGATTGCTGCTTTTAATTTTGGTTGCATTCCTACACTTGCCCCCCAGTTCGACAGTCGGAAATTCGAGTTGTCGGGCTGTAGTACTTTAATTCAAGCATTTTTATGTCGGAATACTGACTTGCCTTAGCAATTTGCCTTTTTTGCTAATCGGAGGGTCTTTGAGATCCCTTTTCACTGATGTTGCGGGGTTTTGTTCCTGATTCTCCGCATGTTTCGTTTGCAGAGTTGAATTTAGCCCAGTTTTATATACTATAGCTTTATTCACTTGAGCTCGGCTTTGCCAGAATCTTGTTGTGATATCGTCTTCTGTTTCAACCTGGCTGTGCATACCGTGTGTTTCACAGATTTTGATTTGATTAAAATCATTCACCTTTTTGAGTTTGGGTTGCATTGTCGTGACGTTCAGATAGAACAGGGTAAGACTCCCGCTGAATGATTTTTCCTTTATACTCGCATCTTGAGTTTTATGCCTCCCTGATAACTTAGATATATTTTTCAAAGTATTCGAGGTTCATCAGATTCCAGAGTTGCCTGAAGTATTTGTTAAATACTTCTAAGAACTTAGCATTCTCTTGATTTTGATAAACAAGCTTGTATACTTGTTATCTAGGTTTGTAACTTAGGATATTTTCTAAGAATATCAAACCTTACCCGAGTTGTCCCTCATTCAAGACGGCTTGTTTTTACAACTCGAATAAATTCTTATTTTCGCAACTCGTGCATTTTACGAGTTCTGGTATATTGACTTGGCCGAGGTCAAAGCATTATACGGATTCCGCTTTTTGTCACTCTCTGTGACGCATGTTTGTTTTAACTTAACGTTTTGTTAAGTCAACATTGATGAAGGTGATTATTGTCGCCTTCAATCATGACCTGGGTTTCGTAACCCAGTACTATCCAAGGTAAAGGCAGTATTGTCACATGTCCCACTTGGGTCTTTCAACCTTAGTACGGAGCATTTCGACTTGATCAGAGTCAGCGTGACAAATTGCGCTGATATCTCATATTTATGTTGATGCATCAGAATCACAAGGATCCATATTTACGAAGGTATGTACTTGTTCCCTCATTTTACTTTAACCCGGATTCGTATAAAGTGGTTTTATAATATTCAACTTGGCCTTTTGCCCAAGTTTCAATTTCAAAGGCGTCATGATGACTTGATTAGTGTCGCTTCAATCTGCCCTTTTGAATTTTAGTTCAGTTTGGATTACGGAAGCGTCCTCCCGCTTTCCCTGAACCAGGCTTGATGTCGCATGCATGCATTATTCTTACATTTGAACCTGGATT